AATTTCTTTGATAAGTTTCGGTAAATATTTTTTATATTTTTAGCAAATGGATATTAATGATTTTTATATTAAATTAAAGTGCACACTTTTAGCTACACGTAGAGTACTATATAGAGTTCCAAACCACCCCCGGCAATGTTAACAATGCCTGGCCTTAGGCATTATTCACATTGCCTAATCCGCCAACTTTTCTTTGCCATTTTTTGAACCTTTGCAGATTAATTTATAACTCAAATTTGGACTCTACGTGTAGATAAAAGAGTGCAATTTAATTTAATATAAGTTTCATAAAAATCTATTTGCAAAAAGTATACAAAATATTTGCCGAAACTTTTCAAAGAAATTGCAAAGATGCACAATTTACAGCATCGCATTCATTGCCATTTTATGAACCTTTGCAGAATTATTTATGATTTAAAAAGGTATTCTACACGTAGAGAAAAGAGTGCACTTTAATTTAATATAAGTTTCATTAAAATCTATTCACTTTTAGTATAAAAAATATTTACCAAAACTTTTCAAAGAATTAGCAAAGTTGTACAATTTACAGCATTGCAATCTCTAATATATATATATACCAAAAATAAAATAAAATAGAAAAATCGAATAATATACGTATTAATTATCAATATAATATAAAACGATTAATATTACATAAAAAAAAAAAAACATTCATCGCATTCCATTAAAAAATGAAAAAACAAAAAACAACAAAAAAGAAAAGAGTAAAGTAAACATAATTATTCTCCAACAAGAAAATAATCGAACAATCCACGACCATACTAAGTGTGAAGGTACAGTGGTGGGATAAAAGGTGAGGTTTAGATCCCTTTCTAAATAATTCAATAACAAACAAACAAAATAATAATAATAAATTCGATGAATAATTATCACGTATTGTATATACAACTTGAACGTAAATTCTACCAATATGAGAATGATAAAAAAAAGAAAAGAAAAGAAAAAAAATACAAATTAGACGTACGATAAAATGATCCAAAATTAGCATGTTTCATACCTCGCGTAAGAGAAGATTCGAATGAACATGATCTTGTCTCTGTCATTGAATAAAAAAAAATTAAAATTACTTAAATACTTAATTAACTTAACATATCATTATCATATGTGTTCAACACGCGTATAAACTTCTTCGAGTGGGTGGTGTGTGCTATCAGGTTGGGGGTGGTGGGGAAGGGAAAAGGGAGCAGAGAGGGGCCGAGAAGAAAAAAAAAAAAGAGAGAGAGAGAGAAATAAAACGAAGGACGAGGTCAAAAGGTTACGCGAGCGTTTACGTAATCTGTCGAAGCTGCCGTGTGGACCACGGGACGACGATTATGCACGTTGGATGCATCTGGATGCATTTTTTTGAAAAAAGAGAAAATGATTGTTTTACCATCGAGATTACATCATCGAGCTTATCTACCGATTGAAAAAGAGAGATTAGGGTTCGATAGTAATGAAATAAATTAGGATTAAAACTAAGATCAATCGAAATTGTAAAAGCGTTTGATGAAAATTTAAATATTTTGTATTAACGAGAAGGTATTACCAGGAACTTGGACATAAAAAAGAAGTAGAATTTAATTTAATTAAGTTGAACGTGTTTCGTCCCTTTATTGGGACTTTTTCAGCAACTTACTTAATCTTTATAGTTCAGCGTCTTTTTTCATTGAGTTGAGATACATTTTTATTTTTATTTTTTAATATTCAAAATACAAAATATCTAAACTTCGTTAAGTATTAGCTCGTTATAATTTTTTTTATTATATATATATATATATATATAATAATATAT